TCATCTGGTCACCAATGCATCCCCCACCAGGGAGCAGAATTTTGAGGGAATGGGGAAAAAAAATATACAAATCAAAAATGCACAAAAAATTAGGCACTAGCTTAACCCACTTGTTAGAGAGAGCCAAGGATGTTAGATACACCTCCAGTCTGCCTTCTCATATTCACCCACAGTAGTGATGATCAAAGCCAAACACTCCCCACTCTGAGTACCCTGTGCTGTCAAACAGATTATAATCTAATGAAAATATTTCTATTACTAGCATAAAGTTAAACCATTTCATAACTGGAGGAGAAAGAGAAGCTACAGTCTGAATATAAGCATTTCTTTGAGAAGTAAAAAAAATCCCAACAGATAAGAGACAAAAAAAACCTGTTTCAGTCATCCATCAGATGATTGTTAGCATTACAGCCAATGCTTAAGCAATACAACATTGAGCTAGGAAAAGTCATCGTATGGTTGTTCTGCTTATGGAGTAGCCTTACTAGTTCACTAAGCACTGGGCAACCTATTTCTCTGTTACTCTAACTAGTTTTCAGAAGCTGCAATGTAGAACTGCAGTGTTAGTGAAAGAATATGCTCATCTTCACCAAGGCCTGGGATTTGTATCAGAAATTCATCAAACTTACATCACTCCAAGTGTACCATGTCCAAATCACCTAGTTGCTACTGTGGACTTTTACATTTCTACCCAAGGAATGGCTGGGTTTTGAAGCTTGATCAACCAGAGTCTTACATTGAACTGCAACTAAACAAAGCAGAATACCAGTTAAAGCCAAATAACACATGTACTCGGCACAAATATGCGTTGATACAGTACAGTATGTATGTGGATATATATGTGTATATATATGCATATATATGTATATGTTACATTGTAAGGAGAGTGCCATTCAGCGCTTCTCAAATGCAAGAATCCTTTTACCACCTCCGAGTCTTCAAACTTCAGCCCATTAAATTTCACACTAAGACAATGAAAACTCCAGTATTTTCCATATTAAAGGATTATTTCTACTTTAGCCAATTAACCATGCAGGGCCAGCAGAAAGAACAATTATTTAATTTTAATAGCACTCGTCCTACTACCTCAATCAAATGGCCAAGAATTTATCACCAGATCGTTTGCCCTCTCCCTGCCCTGCAGTTGTGTACCATGGGCATTACTGTGAGTTTTCCAGACATCATCAGTCAAATTAATTGATCTCTACCATTTTACTTAGTTGATAGAGAAAATGCCACAATTTATGAAATTTCAAACAGACAGTACAGATCTGACAAGAATTCAAGTTTATACTTTAGAGTACTAGCTAATCATATTGGTATTAATCACATAATGATTCTGTCTTTTCATCCCCAGCAAGCCCACTTTTACTCATAGTGGCTGTCATCATACATACGTACAACTGAAGAGCTGGACAGCTTGGAAAACTGTGTTACTCACTCTTATCCTAAGCCCTGGTCCTTATAAAATTCTGCTGCACAAGTTTCACATATAGCTGAAAAAAGTTCCAGTTAAATCACTTGGAGTAGGTTTTCTTACTTTTTAAGAAAGAAATAGAAGCAACAATTAAAGAGTAAAAATAAGTGTAATGGGCACTTAATAAAAAAGTAAATGCTATTTAGATGAGTGGGAGCTACTCACCTCCCTTTCCTTTAGTCTATCTAGAATTTAGATTATCTATCCCCGACTAAACATTTGTGCTTCCTCCACTCTTGAGGAAACAAAAGCTTCCTTCTGGAGGCTGTCACTTCCACAAATGGGTCAAACAAGTCCCTCCAGAGATGGCAGATCCAAGGACAGTCAAGGATTACCTGACACACAGGTGACACAAGTCTTTCTTTACCTCTCTGCACCTTCCTCAAGGGCAGCAGTGGAGGGGAGGTGCTGATCTCCCCTCTCTGGTGACCAGCAGCAGAAACGAGGGAATGGAGTGAAGCGGAATCAAGGCAAATTCAGACTGGACATTGGAGAAAGATTCTTCACTTGGGAGGGTGATTAGTCACTGGGACTGGCTGCCCAGGGACCTCCCTTGCCCCTGGTCATGGCACCAAGCTGGCCAGAGTTGAAGGAGCACCTGGGCTGCTCTGGGTAACACTCGCTCACAGGGATCAGTGTTAGGCACTCCTGTAAGGACCAGGGCATTGGACTCTCTGACCCTGCAGGGCTCCTTTTAACTCAAGACAGTCTATGATTCTAAGCTGAAGTAACTCAACAATTTCCTGGACACCAAACCAGCCATGCTGTGTCTTCATGGATGTGTATATTACTTAACCACAAACCTCCAAATTCCTGTTGGGGTCACAGAGGTTAAACAAGGACTAGAACTACTCTGTCAAATAAGGGTAAGCATTACATACACCCCTAAATCATACAGCTTTACAACAGGCTCACACAGAGCCAACCCATAGGAAAACATATATAGTCTATGGGATTGTTTACTCTGGTATATCTTTTTAGAGCATGAGAACAAGATATATTGTCAAATTCATCCTCAAATGATTTATTTTATTTTAAAAAATGTAAATACAGCAAGGCCCTAAGAGACTTTTGCTCAAAATTCATCAAGTGAGTGCTACTGAAACACTATGAGGACTTTGGCATATAATTCCTTACGGGCAAGAGTTGGTTTTTAGAAAAATCAATAAGTTAGACATTTTATAACAAGCAAACAATTCTCAGTCCCTAACTCTGACAGCAAAGCCACCTCTATCCTTTCTTCACTCTACTGTGTATCAGTATTGCTGTGTCCCCTCAGTTACAGGGTTATCACATGCAAGTGGATATATGATATGGACAGGCTACACCCCTGGTAACTTCAAGGTCTATTTAGAACCCTTCCCACGAGGTCAGAGTCACCCGAGCTACGTGCCAATGACAGCCATACCATGCACTGGGCCAGTATTACAGAGCAGGATGAAAAACCACAGCCAACATCCATCTTCCAAAGCACCTTCTAGAAAATAAATCAAGCATCTCCTGGTACCCAGGGGCACACTGGTTGCACCTGCTCACAAAAGCATCTGGAATTCATTCACTGTTTTGGAAGGCAGCTGTGTGTGGCCAGAACCTGGATTCCGTGGCCAGGAGCTCCTCTCCTCACCCACACATCTTGGTTCTCAACCAAGAAGCTTCAAGTCCTTTATTTCAGAAGGGGGAACCCCCACGTCCCAAAGCCTAGATATCCTTTTTGTATGCCTACAATTCATGGGAGCATCTAGGACAGTCATTTGAGCAAGATCGTGCCTAAGTAGGCATTGCTGCTCAATTAGCTGAGTTGGCTGAGGGTTTTCCCATTGTAACACAAGTTTTCTATTCTAGTATTATTTTCGGTGTAAAAAAAAAAAAAATCAGTGGGGATGGGTGGGGTTTTTTGCGCAAAACTTGATGCCTTAATGAAAAAAAGGTTGCTTTTTCCAATATTTTGCTGTTTATTTCTGTTGGGAAAACTTGAAACACATAACTTTTGTCAGAGAAATATCAGTCCGTGTCTGTCCGAATTCCTGCAGTGTCAGCTGGGAGCTGTAATTCAAGGGCTCCATGGCCCCCTCTTTCCCTGGGCACCTCTCCAGCCCTCATGACGCATTCCCCGTTTGACTAACCCAGGGTAGGAGCATCATGGGATCTGTAATTCAGCCAAAGAGCTCAGCCCCAAGGGAGGCACAGCGCGCAAGGCACTTGAATGACAGTTTTTGAGGGCTGCAACAGTAGCTCAAACTGATGCTGCTTTAAGGGCCAAATGGATTTAATTAAATGTTTCCATTTCAAAAGGCTGGAACATTTTATTCAGTGTTTTCCAGCTGACAATTTCTAATTTTTTGAAAAATTTCCATTCCAGGAAAATGTTCGGTATTTCAGCTCTCCATGTCAGTTCAGGATGAAATGAAATGTTCAAGAATCAGATTTTGATGGTATATGGACACTCAGTTTGGGGAAACAGTCATATTATAGTTAGCTGTCAAAAGTGAAAGGGTTTCATCCATGGAAGAAAGGTGTGATCCAGTTTGCCTCTGACTTCAGTGGAAGCCACCTTTTTAGCTTAATGGAGCCTAGATGGAGTCCCAAAAGACCAAGGGAGGGTGGAGCTGATCATAGTTATAGATATGGGAAACAGGAGTCAAAAGTGAAAGAGCAAGAATGTAAGAAGCCGCAACTAAGATGATCTGTTACCTGGTCTTGATCAAAACAGTTTTACTTCAGTAACAGGATGAAAATCCATTATGATTATAACTTCTAATTCCCAGTTACAGTAAAGATAGCAGTTAATCACTAATTTGTAGAGTAGAAAAAATCCATAGGATGAATTTGTCATGAGCACTATAGCTTCCAATGCTCAAAACAGTTCCTCAGAAAACCTTCATATGCTCCATTCAAGGAGACTACTCTGAAGCTAAAGATAACAATATGGTACTGAACCACTAGCCTCAAGTTGTGTGTCCTCTCTTGAACCCCCCCAGAACTGTTCTGCTGGATTGGTACTAAGAAGGTCTGTCAGGAGGGACCAGGGTCTCTGGACTTTGAGCACATCTGCAGGTGGAGAACAGCTAAGTGTGGGCTTCCAGAGCTGATACTTTGGGTGAAGGGTGGGCACCAAACCCATCCCCTGCATTGCCCACTCTGTTTTGGGAGGTAGCCCCAAGCCCTCCACCTCAAAGAGTACAAGAGCAGCCCTGGGGAGCCCATGCCCATCAGCATCAGGGTGTATGCTGAAAGCAAGAGCGCACTCAGAACTGTAAGTAAATCAATTCATCTGAACATGAGGGATGAAGAGAATTGGGATTTGTTTATCTTTCATTTCCCTTTAGTACAAGGCAGATGTTTTTAAGTAATAAGCAGAAACCTCTACAATTTTTATGACTGAAGAGGAAGGGAGGGAGGAAAAAACATGTACAAGCATTGAGGATGTTCTCAGCTCCAGCTTAAAAAAACCAAAAGAACCAAAACAAAAGTCAAACCAAACAAACAAAAAACCAAACCCACCAAAATCACACACCACCAAAAATTTCTATCTGTAAAAGCAAGTTTTTCTTAGGCTGTTTGGTAATTCTTAGTTCACAGGAGCATTTATCCAGAAGGTTCTTCGTGTTTCCAGTCTAGGTTGTAGCAATCTCAGTGAGGCACTAAGTTTTAGGCCGTTAAAGTCTCTGTGCAGCACGGTCATTTTAAAATGATGTGGTAGCCATCATTGCTTTCAGCTGTAAAAAAGAAATGCAAAGCATATTTTCATTGCTTTTAAGAAACAGCACAGATACAGAACTTCAAATTTTCTTTCTAGGTAGTTTGCAATAGTTCATACACTTGTTTCACAACCCACTTGTGAAAACCAATGTTGTATATCTAAATCAAATAATTTACATAAAAAACCTACATACTATCATATTTTATAATTTTACTCAAAGGCTTCCTGCTCATTTATGTCAGTGGTGTCAATGGATTTATGGAATTTTTGTAGCAGTGTAACTGGGAGTAAAGCACTGTGTAGTCAACCGCTTGATTTATAATAGATTAGATTACTTATCTTTTCAGGATAACAGCATTGAGTTTGTGATAACGTTTGGTGAAATTGAAAGGAGGAATTATCTTTAGCGTAACAGGTAACAGGAGCAGCAATACACACCTTTCAATGTACTGATAACAAAACAGGATTCGTCTTGGAAGTTTTGCACCATCTGAAGGACAGAAGAAAAATAACCAACACATTTTTAGCAATTAAATTCACATTTCTTTCAGGGCCAGTATAGACTTAGAGGAGAGGTATTAAACTGCATTTGTTGTCTAGTCCTGCACAGTCCTGAGTAACCCTGCCCATTAACTTATTAATGTACATGACTGATCAATTAAGGTCCTTGCAGTTGCTAGTGTGTTTAAGGGAAGCTCACACTAAATGTGCTTGCCTGAAACTGATCTAGCTTATTCAGCATTTGCCATCCTCTTTGCAGCTCTCAATCCTGAAGGTTCCTATAGCACTCCAATTATTATATTAAAAATCATGTCTTTGTTGCATTCAGTGACACTATACTAGTTTAGGCAGGATTAAGGTAGTCCCTTTCCTAAAAATCCAACAGTGGTAATTACAATATTCAGCTAAACAATGGAGCTCAGCTGAACTTACATTAGCATTTAAAGAATACCTGAAATTTGTAAACCCCAAGAAATGGACTCCTTGCTGAATAAAGGAATTGCTACTGACAAGCCACCTCAGCAGCATCCATCTGGCTATTTGGATCAGACCTTAGTACAGATACTGTGCTTGCAGGATTCATTTACCTGTGTGCATTTTGTCAAGAAACAATTGTAGTGAAACTGCTGTGAGAAGCAAAGGAAATCATGGAAAGGAAGACTAGAACCTAAAGCTGTTTGAGCTATTCATGAGAGGCAACTAGATTTTCAGAAGAGGTGCAGATTTTGGTGACACCTTTAAATAAAGAGATAAAGAATATTTCAGTTCCAATATGAAAAGCCCATTTAAGATTCATCCTTCGCCAATGCTTCCTCCCATCTTAGAGTAGCTATGTGGGACAGAGGACATGAATTACCTTCAGGAGGTGTCTCCTACAGTTGAAGCAAATGCTGGACACAACATCAGAGAAGCGAGGTGTGACAAGAACCTCTCTGACCAGTTAATGAAATCTAGCTTTGTGAAAAAGCCTTCTCCTAGCTACTGAGTATCATTCAAGTAATGTATTTATCAGCTGTAAGTTCTCACATCAAAATACCCTTCTCAACTTGGACTGATCTCCCTATACTCTTTTGGATTTAACATCCAGCCTCTACTCCTTCAAATCAAACTTCTCTGGCCCGTTTGTGTGTCTTTGCCTAATGATGCATGAAGTACATTCACAAAATACCACACTCTTGCCACTATAGTACTAGAACAAGAAAAAAATATTAGAAAAGCAATAGAACTTGTTAATAATTGACATCAACAAATACTTAAAGCCTTATACCCAGGCTGGTTCATGCAATTCCCCTGCCAAGAGCTGCCTCCAAGCACTTTGCTTCCATAAAGCATCAAAGTTTCAGATTTAATCAGGCTGGAATAGCAAGGAGACTTCAGGAATAAGCATTACAGCCCACAATTTAGGCTCCAGTTGAGACCTATGCTCTGCTTCATTTGTTTTAACAATGCTTCTTATAAATGAAGCTCCTTAAGTGATTCTGGTGCATGAATGAGTAAGTAATTTAGCAGAGGAAAAAGGAAGAAGGGCAACTCACTATTAACCTGTAAGTTAATGAAATGGACTAAATTAAGGCATCATATAATGGGACACAAACAGTAGCAAAGGTCCATAAATTATAGTGTGCTTATAGTGTATATAGTGACAGACCCAGTGCCTGGAAATATGGGCCAAGATGTAAAACTAATTGCCCTACAGATTTTAAAACTTACCTTCCTTGGGCAACTTACTTATTTAATTTTAAAGGTTTTTACTTTAGATCCTCACTTCAAAATGTGTGTAAGTAGCCAAAATGAAAAGGCACTCATAGAATCATTTAGGTTGGAAAAAACCTCTAAGATCATTATTGACCTGGCACCAGCAAGCCCAGCACTAAACCACATCCCCAGGTGCCACAGCTACAAGACTTTTAAATACCCCCATGGATGGTAACTCAACCATTTCCCTGAGCAGCCTGTTCCAATGCTTGGCAACCCATTCAATAAACATTTTTTTCCTAGTACCTATTCTAAACTTTCCCTGGTACAAGTTGAGGCTATTTCCTCTCATCCTGACACTTGTTACTTGGGAGAAAAGACAGAGTCCCAAATTGCCACAACCTCTTTTCAGGCAAAGCACAATAAATGACCATTTTGGTTTTGTTTTGCTTTAAAAAAGCAAACAAGAACTCCAACATCTTTTACAAAGCAAAGGTCTTGAAACTACACCAAAATCAGTGCTGGGTAAGCTGAATCTCTAACTTTTTCGATGCATTCCATAATTTGAAAGTTCATTCTAACTTCAAGAAGCCAGACAACTGTTCCATCTCTGACAAAGATGCAGCCCCTTTATACCCCCTACCTCATTGCTCACTAACACGTGGATCCCTGTGGGTCCTTGCCGGTAGATCCGATTGATCTGCTGTGGAGAAATGCTGTACAAGTTTGCAATCTTCTCCAGCAATTCCAGCGTGGTCAGCTCTTCTAAGAAGATTGCATGATACACTGCAACAAGTGGAAAGCAGCTACAGAACAGCAAATACAAATGGCACCAAGACACTCAGCATCAACAACCAAATGGGTTAAGATGAAGGTTCAAATGGAATAAACAAGCTTAGTATTTTAAAGCATCCCCCAAATATCTGGCTTGATGATTTGCAGAAAAATACTCATTATTTGTGTGCAGCAGGCAATTAAAACACACACAACTTTTACCCAGAGGAAAACATGAGGACTAATTACAACTTGCATCATGAGGCACTAAAACAGCCCTCTCATAAAGCTGCTTATATTTCACATAATCTTCTTTTACTGGTTTTTGAAGTTTAAAAAAAGAATTCAATCAAATAGCATGTGTGACACATGCTATGTCACACAAAAGCAGTATTTTATTAGATACTGTTCACTGAGCCCATAGGCACAAACTAAAACATACAATGTATAAGGTAATACCATGGATAACAGTATTGTTTTAGAAATCTAATCCAAATTATAGATACCAGGTAGGAAAGCTGAGCCTGTTTATTACTAAATGCAAGATTTAAGGACAATCTTTGCTCTCATTTGATTGTACATTGTGAAATGAGGGATGACAAATTTCCAAAAGCTTTGAACTTTCAAGAATCATAACCTTACTTTGAGACCTACCTATCTTCCATTTTCCTGATTTTTTTCAAACAAGACAATCTATAGAAAATTGTGTATCTATACAAAATTGTGGAAGGGTGGCTTTTAATGCTATTGTCCCTACTAAGAACCAAATAAGAGATTTTGCTGTGGCATTCTGCAGATAATTTGTAAGCTGGGTCTGTCCCCCAGGCAGACAGTGCCATTTGGAATCTGTAGCTGTGAAACCATAACCAAAGTGGCAAAACTGGAATAAACAGAATCCCTCCAAACACTAAGGACACCAAGCTGTCTCACTCAGGAGCTCAGGCAGAAAGCACCATTCTCACCAGGTAAATGTTTAACAAAATCCATAAATAAGAACTTACCACAAAGACTTCCATCTCCATTTTCTCGTTTTTGGTGGAGATGGGACCTGTTTTGCTCTGGTTCTTGACAGACATAAATTGTCATCTTGGGCCTCACATTTCTATGGATTAATCAGATACAGTAGTAAGTTATTTAGTAGATGTGAAATAGTTCCAAGTCAGCTACCAAATAGTAAAAGATGGAATCATCCAGGCCATGCATAAGTAACAAACTACAGAGGATAGCCTTGATGTTGTTGACTAGACAGCTTAGGATGTCCAGCAAAAGACCCCTGGGAGGTGGTGCAGAGAACATTAATCTTTTCAAGATCAGGTAAGAGTAAAAAGCTTATAGCACTTGCTAAGCAGTTCATCACACTGGCCTCTACTGATTTAAATCCTGCTCAGCTGTAGAATTTATGAACAGCATAGGGTTTTGTAGGCTGTGTATCTTGTGAAATGGATGCAAGCTATCAGCTGGCAGCAAATCAACCACTAGAGATTCACATTGTGCTGCTTTGTTTTGGCAATTTTTCTGAGCTGTGCCTGGATTTGAATATCATTGTGATCTCCAGCCCCTGAGAAAACCTCTCTGAAGTATTAAAAGGAAGTCTAAATGCTACAGTTCAAGGATTAACTTCTAGTTAACACTGAAATTATCAAGCAATCATAAAAAATAGGAAGGAAATAGTACAAACCTTCCTTTAATTGCATTAAAGAGCCGAATTCCATCAGCAGGCCCACAGATTTGAACAAAATCTTCTTTGGACATCTTCAGTAAGTCGGCACCTACATATTTCAAATTGATTTTCCTTCAGAAGTTAAGCAAATCTTAGCTTCCAAACAGTATGTATGGGCAGCAGAACAGGGCAGGGGTAGAGGGCGTAGAGAATCCACAAAGCTAAACCACACATTTATACAGAGAAGTTGCAAATTCAGAGAGGTGTGCAATTTAAATCAACCACTGTGAAACAGAAAGCTGTGAACTGCCAAAAGAACTGTGCTGCACTGGAAAATACTCCAGCCAGCTCATAGACAAGCTAGATATTTCACACTGGCCATTAAATGACGTGGTCTTCTGTAACTGTCACATTCACTGAGTTATTTCATCATGTTGCAAGTCAGAGAGAGTCTCCTCATGGTTTCAACACCGCTAACAACTGTCCCTTCCATCATCTTACTGGTGTGTACAACTACTTAAATTGGAGGTACAGTGAAGGTGCCAGATGCTTCTTAAACATGCACAGGGACAGGATGAGAGGCAGCAGATAGAAGATGAAATGCTGATTAGATATTAAAAAAATATATATTTTCACTGTCAAAATAGTTAAGTATTCAAAGAGGTTGTTTAGAGAGATTGTGGAATTTTCAGCCTTGGAGATTTCAAAGGCAACTGCACAAAGCCCTGGGCTTGCTTCAAAGTTGCACTTCACAAACTTAGGAAGTCCCTTCCATCTTAACTTATTTCCTTCCAGTTTTACTTACTCTGTAGGTCTACAAACTGTTTCAACAAATGGTAACTAATCCAACAACCAAAGAACAACCACAGTGGATCAAACCAATGATCTCATCAAAAGTGGTCAGCAGCAGATGCTACCCGAGCTGCACTTGCAGAAGAGAAAAAAACCAGAGTATTTGGACTGTTTAAACTCACCCGAAAAACTTGAGAAGAGTCTACAGAATGGAGAGAACCTATTACGATGAAGCCACTGCTGGGCATCTTGAATAGAAGCAGAAGGAAGGAGATGCTACATTGCAAAAAGAATAAGAAGGTCTTGAAATGAACTGTTCACCAGTGTCCTAAAAGAGAAAAGCACCACATTAACATGATCTCAAGTACTTACATCATTGCTGGGAGGCAGGAGCTCCATTTGGTGGGTTGGAGAACTGTTGCTAAAAGAAATTATATAAAGTTGGAAGAGAAAAAAAACACATTATTTTAAATTTTACATTGCAGTGTCCATCCTCTTCCCCCTCCTCTATTTGACTCAATTTTCACAAGTTACATCCAACTTGTCTATCCAATCTTTAAAAAGGTGTTCAAAATTTGGAAGAAAAAAAAAAAACAACCCTCTCTACTCGAGTCTTTTGTTGGTCAGTTGAGGTCCTCCTCAAAACTGAGAGGACAAATTCAGATTTACTGACCTCAATCAAGCTTTTCCATATGGTTGACTCACTAATGTGACATGATTTAAGCAAGAAGATTGTAACCTACAGGGTGGCTGAACTTGAAATTTCCATGAACCAGAAATATCCTAACTAAATCCACTGCGTAATAATAATTCTTTACAAAATTTGAATAAAGGACCTTATAATTCAACTCTGGTGTTATCTAAAACATAGTCAAGTGCCATAAATCATGCAAAACCACATTTCTACTAAATTCTCCTAAACACATACAGGATTCCTCAACATATCAGGGATTTTACCAAAGGAAAAAAATACTCAGCAAATCTCTCTACTAACACAAAATTTTGTAATTTCAGTGTTCATTCTTTTTCATAGTTTGAGGGGATTCACTGAAAATTAGTGATACAGCATGGTAATTAAGTTGTGTGGGAAGGAAATAAGATGGCAGAGTCCTACCAAAAGAAAAAGACCTATACCAAATTCCTATGGGGAAATATGCAGAAGAGAGGACTGACAAGTATGAGGGCCACTGCTGTACCTTTCTGACACTAGTTACCATCTTCAGCATTTCAGAATCACTAGAGCTGTCTCATTATGATGGCTATTTAATGAATTAAACATGTCTTCATTAATCCTTTGTTCTGAAATAGCATTTCAAAACCCAGGCTATTTTGCCCCAAAGAGGATTTCTTTACATGTCATTCACCTAGGAATTCAGCAGCCCAAGCTACCTCAAGACAGAAAGTAAGGAAGAAACACCAACTCTGAAGAGGTGCTGAAAGCCTCTAACACCTGTGAGAAGGTCCTGGGGATTGGTGGTATAGGGTATGGTGTGTTCTCACCAGGAGTTGCCCTGGAGGCCCTCTGACACTCCCCTTCCAGCCACCACATAAACAGGGCACATACAAATAGTACTCTGCACTACAGGGGGAATTCCTGGATGGAAGGTCTTAAAGGCTTTTGGAAAATAGTTTCTCCTTGCTAGAATCGGGGGAGCTCCTTAACATCATCTTGCAGGGTATGAAATGCATGGACACACAAAGGCTACAATATCAACAAGAAAGATAAAGCATGTATTTGTTACATACCCATCTCCGAGGTTGAAGCTGTTGGGAGAACTGTTGTAACTTGGAGATGGAGCATTGTTCATTTGATAAGGCACATCTGGCCAGGGAGAGCACTGTTGGAAGAAAGGCAGTAGGGAAACTTTCATAAGGATGGAAATAAAGGATTTGATTCTCCTCTAATACCACATTCATGCTGTTGCCACGCCACTAACTTCAGCTCATCACTCCTGCTGGGAGGAGGAGACGGGCCATGGATTTTCTACACTGCTCTCCAAGTGGGCTGTCAGGGGGCCAAGATTGATTCCAGTTGTGCATTCCACATTTCTTTCTCCCATTTCACAAAGCCTGTCCCCAAATAACACTGGGCCAAAGTGTGCACAGCTGTAAGTCAGAGCAACGCCAGTAAGTCAACTCAGACTGAAGGCAGCAATGATACAGAAATACCCCTGGACTCAATTATAAATCTCTAATTAAATCCAGGCAAGAGTGACAAAAAGGCTCCTGTGGCATTGCTTCAGGTTTATACCAGCAAAAGAGCAGAATGTGAACAAGCCTGCTGAAACCTCTGGCTATTAGTCAAACAGCTCCAGTCATAAATGGGTACTAAATGGAGAAAATTTAAGATAGACAGACAGACACAAAGCTACTAAATGCCTTCACAAATATAGGTCAGACCCCACATTCCATGACAGTAGTGTAAAACCAGAGTAACCCAGATAGAATTGGTGACTCTGTTCTGAATTTAAGCCACAGTAATCAGCAGGAGAAATCTAGCCCTGTTGAACCCCCCACCACCAAGAGCTCAAGAAAATACTCTGTAGTGGCCTTGTTTGCAATGATAAAAAGACAGCAAGTGTAGCTTTGGAGCTTTATCATCTCCTCAAACACGAGCAAATATTTTATAATCTCCACAAGCACTGGCAAATATTTAACTCTTTGGCAACCCACATTTCCCCACGCAATATGTCAAAGTGCATCAGAGCTCACAGGAAGAGTCTGGGATCTGCCAACTCAGTAGAATTAGGTCTGTCAATCACAAAACATGCTGGTTGCTCCTGGCAACATGAGGAAAATGGAGTGGGAGAGATTGGATCTCACAAATAGGAAGTTGATTTAAATTAAGAATAATTAACATAATTTTTGGATGTTCAGCAAGCTGCTCCAAAAAAAAAAAAAAAAAACTAAATCAAATAACAAGTCATTCCCATAGGAAGACTGAACAACACTTTTAAATCCCTTTCTCAAGTCCTGTTGCTGACTAATTCTATAGCCTATGGTAAGTTTATAACATCTTAGTAATGACAGGGAAGGGAAGAAACACATACAACTCCACACCAGATACATCAGAATATAAGACACAAGATATTGCTAGAGTACAACCCAGAATCTTGCATGTAACAACAGCTTCATAGGCACATTCACAGAAAACAGATTAATAATTTAATCAGACAGCCTATTCATCTGCTCAAGTGTCCCATCTCCAACATGAGCTTTTCTCAAGCAGTTCTGAAAAAAAATACAGACAACTGTATTTTCATACAACTGGCACCTGAGGGCCATGAAAAGTGCCCAGGAGCACAGTGGTGAAAACTGAGAAAGTCGTTGTTTTTTTGGGGTTTTTAAAACCCAGGTTGCTAAGGGTTAGTTTATACCCCAAGACAAACTTTGGCATCTTTCATAAATTTCAACAGTGAGTCATTTTATAATTTCCACTCTCAGTTTCACTCAGATCTGAGCACACATGTCTCCACAAGGCAATCTCCAGGGCTCAGATGCTGTTTTCTTTTAAATTTATCTCCCAACATGATGTAGCATGATGAGTCTAAAACACTTTACCTCTGTGAGAATAGTTGTCTCATAGGAAGGCTGATACTTCTCCTTCTCTTGGGTGGTCTTCTTTTCCATTTTTTCCCTGTCAGTCTTCTGTTTTCTGTCTGCTCCTTTCGGCTATAAGTACAAGTACAGGCTCTCCCTTATGCCAAGCATTACAAGTTTAAAAACAGAGGCCAACAGATTTATCTAATCTGTTCACAAAAGCCTCCTTAAGATTTATGGGAATTCTACATATGAAACAAGATCAGATCTGCACTTTCTAGACAAAAGAGTTAATCAAGCATCCCTACTGTTTCTGTACATCCACCACTAATGCCTACTGCAATTGTGAAACAGGCTGACCACAGTCCTGAGATGTGATTCCAGCTATTTCAGTTCAAAAGTTATGCACCTCAACTGGCATTTGTAATATCTTTCCAGAAAGCAGAAAGATATTGCTGATGGAACAAAACTGGAGCAGCAGATCCCTTGAGAAAACAGGTCTATGGAGAGTTTGTTTTTAAGCAGCTATAGGGGTGTCATGCCCCGATTAGGAGCTTCACAGATGTTCTTTCTTCCAATCTTTTTCTCCTCCAGGTATCACGGAGACAAACTCTGCTCCAACAACAACAATAAAAAAGTATTTAAGATCTCCATAATGAAATTTTATTGCTCATGGAGGGTTCAATCAAAGAAATTGAAGATGCCCTGATGTCTTGATTGCCAAGGAGCATCAAAACACACTGAATACCCTAAATATCTCAGTATTTTTGCAGTGTTTGAGGTATTATGGACTGGCACAAGTCTTAGTGCAACACTTCAACTGGAACTGCTGTGTAGGTCAGTGTTTATACCATCATGTGCACAGGAGTCTGTTTGAAATCTTAAGCATTCCCAGTTAAAAGTCTATTATTTTACTCCAATGTTTGCATCACTCCTATACCATCTGCAATCTTTGCATGTTCCTGTGCCTTAATCTAGTTGATGACAAAGCCAAAACCACCTCATACCTTGAACACTTTGATCTGGCAGCTTGCAGAATGCAAGTGTTCTGTGTATTCACCATTTTCACTCTGCTTAAAGGTGTCGATTTGCACCCGGAAGGGCACACCTTTCTCCCCTCCATGTTTCCGTGGGGTAAATTCTGTGCTGATGCAATGTACCTGGCAAAACAGAAACTGTGCTCGTCTCTGGAGACAGTTGGAGTCTGTGCTCATCTAACTTTCAGATACTGCCTAAACAAGAGGTTTTGGCTCCTCACAAAAAACTAAAAGAGGCAGAAGAGTTCATATGTACATAATTTCTGTTCCTTTCAACAAAATAATCAGGAGAACAAGCAGTTCAGAAAGAAACAGGGCATCAGGAAAAGCATCCTTTTCTTTAAGTAAATCCCTCATTCAGATTAAAAACAGATCATTGATGCTCAGAATGAGAAATAGTCATGAAAGAGGAAAGCAAGGAAAATTAACAAGTAATGAACAATTTTCCCCAAAACAAGACCTATGCTTAGAAAGCAACACCTGTGTCTGAGTACTTTTTTAAAGAAAATCCTGGCAATAGCAGGTAGTACTCCAACATTAACAAATAGCCAGCAAATTGATTTAGTGAGTATATTACAAATTAATTACACATCATTATCACGACTTAGTAATTATCATTACCATCCTTCTCTCTTGTTCATGTGCTGGCTATTTTGTCTCCCCAGGTCTTCAAAAAATATCTAACCACTGTATTTACCACAGAAATATGACTTATCTCTTACCTGAATGAATGCTGAAGCCCTCTTTGACGGATCCCAGAGAAATTCAACAGTGTTCAACTGGGTTGGGCTAGCCCTGGGATCCAAGATACCAACTGACAGCGGGATATCTGTAGAAGAAAACCCCTAAAATTTTAAAAATATTAAATTGAAGAAGAGAAAGCATTTCCATACAATCAGAACATGCACGTGAAAGCGAAGCCACCAAAGACATCTCTACTTAGGACCTATAGCGCTAGATCTCCTTCCCTCCCAAAGATATACAGGATTCCTAAAAGACCTAAACACACATGCAAACACACCATGCACCACTGATCTCCCCAGCACTGCAGAGGTGCCACGATGAAATAGTCTCACCTATATCAAGGATGCGGTCCCCAGGCCGACTCCACCTCCAGCCCTCGAGCTGCTGATGCTCTGTGTACTGCAGGCGGCGGTCGTGGAAAACAACACGAATTATACTCTGTTAAAAAAAGACAGCAGTATGAACAATGGGATCCAGACAACTGGATGTCTCAAGATGACTTTGGTTTTCCAGAGTAGAAGCAAAAACTGATCTGTTATGCTTCTCACCCCCACTGATGGGGAGAACAGAAGGGTCCACCTAAGAGACCCATCACCATATGTATCAAATTCCTAAGGGACCCTCAGAGAAACACTTCCCCCTCCACAAAAAGGCTCATATGGGGGTAATATTTAATGTGTCTGTACCACGTCCCAACCCCAGTATATCCCATTCTGATTTTCAAATGTGGAAGCCAGCTCACCTGTCCCTGCCCTGGTGGAGCTGACAAGTCAAGACACTTTGTCAGTGGGAATTAAGCTTTATTCCAGCCATTAAGAGCCAGTCATTGGATTTTTCCCCAGAGTAGTTAAACAAGAGTAGGTAGAGTAGGAAAGCGTTTGTAACAGCAGGCTGGTCTGCAATGTTGCAGCCATGCCAATAACTGGAGAAAAAAGGCTGGAATAAGGGCAATCCCCAGGGCAGAAAGTCCTAAGTGCTCCTAACTAGTATGTTCTTTTGTATATTCACAGTGCTACACTTAGATGAGTTAATGACCTCTAACATTCCAGTTTCTCAAGCCCACACTCTTGCTGGGGACTTCTGTATCAAGTGAGTGAGCAAATTTTACCAGTGAACCTGAGAAATTCCCAAATCAAACCCTAGCTTCAAGATGCAAACAAGCCACAGTGGGAACATCTGCAAAATTAGAATCCCAACCCACATACTACCTGGAATGGGCCAAAAGACAAATAGGGAATCACCTAAACTTGGACAACATTTGAAATCTAAATTGGAATACTAATTTTGCAACTAGTTCCTACTTCTCAAAGTAAATCCTGAGGCAGAAAGCCAAGAATTGAAGGCTGGATCCAGAATCAAGGTCCAGACCAATGTTTTTGAATTTTAACTGTTTTGGCAGTGGAGGAAACAACAGGAAAAAGTCCCCCAAACCAAATGATCAAGTTCTATATGTTCATCATTACGCCCATTACCAAAGTAAACTGGAGCTATACAGAATCTGCCTGGCAGAACTATGTAAACACCTGGGACCTCCATTTGTCACATAACAACCCAGGCATGTTGCTGCAATTCAGTAGGGAGACAAGTCAGCCTCTCCACTGCTTTGACCATGTTCACCACTGAACTTTGGGATTCCCCTGAACCCAATATTCATAGTGAAACTCTGGGATCACAATCACAAACAGAATAAAGGTTCCCCTGAAGCCCTACAAAGCCAAGCTGCATAGTCCCACAAAACTAGCACTCAACAACTCCATCGCCCCTGCTTCCATTAAAAACAATGGCAAAGTGTTTTCCATTGTCTCAGTGGGAGCAAGGTCAGGCCCTTCAAAGGCTGTATGTAGTAGCAGGAAGAAAAGAAATCTATATTTCTCCTTACCTTTACATATTTTGTGTTTATATCTTGAAACTCTCCCAATTTCCTATTCTCAAGTAGACGGATTTCATAAGACTGACCTAGAGTTTAAGGAAACATTTCCAAGGTGTTTAATACGTTGTAGCAACGAGAGAGTCATGCTGGCATTTATGTGGCTGATAAGGCATACGTTTGATCAGGGAAAGCTTATTTTTGCTAACATAACGCATTTGCCCCAGTAATTGATAGGCACTAAAGCACAGCAGAAATTTCAGGGGAAGGTTTGACTTTTGGCAGCTAAAACCTCTCCATTATGGCATCGATTATAGCTGTCTCCCAGGGCTGCTATGGTTTTCTGGTCACCCTCCAGAAAGTCACCAGGGTGCTTGAGGCAGTTGTCCCCCCATGCCACATGGCTGTAACAGCGCTGCCTTTGTCTGTCCCTTCTGCTAAAGCAATTCTGCCAAAGCAATGGTTGTGTGAAGACGTGCTGGCATAACAGGTCCACGAACAATTCTGCAGAGAATGACAACTGGGGAAAATCTTGCCATTTTCAGCAAGCATTCAGGCCTGTAAGGTGTTTTGGTGAACTACAAAAACAAAATTTGCTTCATATGGCCTGGAAAGTTGCTGCCAAAGGCACAAATATTCCTTCAGATGTGTGTGGAGGCAGCAATGGGGCATTACAGCATGTGCAAGGACCAGTTCCGGAAAGGGATTACACACTCTACCACCCCACCACCATCCTGACATGAGGAATTTAGTCATTTCAACAGAATTCAGCTAACTGGTTTATGAAATAACATATCTTCAAGGCTGACAGCAGACAAAGGAGACTGATGTTTCAATACCTTACACACAGAAATTACTAAGACAGTACAAAAGCTCAGTGTATTACACGAAGTCTTTAAAAGAAACCTGTAACCAGTACCAAGGCAGGATAGGATCATTAGGATTAATGGAATATATGTGTACCTTATAGCTAGCTTTTCTTGTTCATCTTGCTATCTTTCCTTTCCCTGAAAAATGCACAGGGTATGACAAGGCAGGCACCAAGAAGGAGAATGGTTTGGTTTTTCTGGCTCAACCACTATCTCTGCAAAACTGGCCCTGCACTAAACTGCAAAATAGATCTATCTCCCTCTAAGCAGCTTCTACCAGCAGAGACAAAAATGCTACATTTTTGGATCTGGATTTAGAAATGGATGACTTATGACAGCTGATGTGTCAGAGAAGAGCACCTTATGAGAATCCCACCCATGTGAGTACAGACTATATCCACAGAGCACAGAGATAATTGTGCTTATTCAGCTGGCTGGCAGATAGGAAAAGGAAAAAAAAGGAAGGACAAGAGAGGCCATACTGAAGCCCCAAATGTTTGCACAACAGCCCTACTGAAGTTAGTAGGTGTTCTGCAAACAGGAAATGACCCTTGAATCCAGCAAGTGACTTAGGGCATGGGGAGAGCAGAGAATAAACCATATGAAGTACCAAAATAACCATGGCAACATGCACCAGTCTTTACCCATCTCTTGGCACATAAGTAAAACAAAATTACAACAGGGACCTGCCTTTGAAGACTGCTAGAAAAAAGTGGATGTTGCAAACCACAGTCCTGAAATTGAGATCTTCCACACTTAAACTCACAAGACTTTCTAATGTTCTCATTGATACATATTACTATTGTTCACTTGGCAAATTTTAAAGATATGCACATCATCAGTACTGTTATGTTAGCATAAAAAAGATCAAGGTCAAGTTAAAAAAATTGGTTTTCTGTCAGAGTCATTTAAAAGACCCTTTAGACTATAAAGTCCAACCATTAACCTAGGAATGCCAAGTCCACCACTAAAACATGCCCCCAAGTGCCACATCTGCTGTACATGTTTATCAATGTACAAACTGACTGCTTAGTGGTTCAGCCTGGAGATACACTTCAGCTATAGAGTGATACAGTTCATCATCTTGAACCCAAGCAGCTCTTCTACTTCCAGTTCATTCCCATGCAAATATGAGGCTAATTAATCATAACAGAAGATTAATTTAGGTTTTGAAAGCAAGAGACAGTAAAATACATCTGTGACTGTACTCAGGGGTAACAAGGACAGCAAAATGTAGTGGTATGAGCTGTGCTATGGAGGAAGGCAATGGTCAAACCAGAAGCACTGTCAGCCATTCAGCAAGTATCTCAGGAATGAGCAGGTTTTTGGGACACCCTTGTGCACTGATAGACTCTCACTCTGGTCAGCCTGATCTGCTTATCTTCACTTACAATGAAACAAAAGAAATAACAGGCACTAACCCATCATCCATGTTCCTTTCAAACTAGCATCAAGCACTCAAAAACTCTGCAGCATGCCATTTCTGACCCCTTTGCAGGGATAGGGGCAGAATTACAGCCTGGCAGGCAGTAGGCACCACACATCTCCACCTGACAGGAGTGATTCACCTCGGAAGGAATCAGAACAGATCCTGCAGACCAGTGAAAAAGAATCTGCAGTGTAGACAGAGTTAATATTAAACAGAAAGCCAAAGAGGAAATAACATGTTTTGATGAAAGATATATGGGTCATCTGATGGAAGCCCTGGAATGCAGTTTATGCCATGAAAAACCTCAATCAAAATGGTATTTTATGCTAACTGCTTTCCCCTTGAACTCTGAATGTTTAACTTGAGTTGCTACATGATTATCAAACAAGACTGCTCCCAGCCGAGCTTCAGAAAACATGAGGGTATTTTCCCTTCTCTGTGAAACTCTGTCAGTGAGAATTTGGTCCCAATTCCTCAAAGTTACCTTATATATCTATCTTCTGGTAGTGGTTTTTAATTTATTCTCCTTAAAGCTTTCTAGCAAATTCATTGCTTTGTGGTTTATAGTACCCAGAATTTATTAGCATGGACAGTATTCAGATACTTGTACTTTTATAACACCAAACTGCTTGGATTATACTTTTTCCTTGGAAAATACCTTCCAAACCTTGGTCACTTTATATTCTCTATTTTCACTCTATATCACTCTATTTTCCACTCTATATTTTATATAGTTTTGCTACCAGCAAAACTAGTGAAATACGGGATTATGATCGCAGCCCTGCAATTATTACTGTAGACAAAAAAGGCTCTAAAGAATGACCACTTGGATGTTGGAAAACAAAATCTCTCTGCAAAATAAAGTGAATAATAGCAATCTAACCTGAAGGAAGCTGAACTCCCCCTGGCGTCAAAGAGGGCAAAGAAATCACACAAGGCTCTGATACGCAGATCATTTATGAATCTCCTGCACTGCTGACTCACCAGCACAAGCAGGCACACACTGACAGTTTTCTGCTAAAACTAAATCACTAACAGAGCATTCCTAGTCAGGTGTCCAAATCTGTAAAGAAACAAGTCTGTAACAATCTGAATTTCCAGTTCCCAAGTTAGACTACAACTAGCTAAGCCCACAACAAAGCTGGAATACAGAGTTCTCCCCATACCGAGTTTTTCCATGCATCTCAGATGGAAACACAGATTAATACAGGTCAGACTACAACTTTCCAAGTCAATACATGGTGGTAAAGCTGGAGACAGGAGCAGAGGATACCAGTGCTTAGACTACAGTGATTTGATTAAATACCCCAGATCAGATGTAACACTGGGCACATGCCCAGGGGCACCTAAAGCACTTCTGTCGCCACCTGAAAAGAAGGGGACACTTTGCAAGCAATCCCCAGCACAGCTGATGCTGCAGCAGCCTCCAGCACAACTGTGTGATCCAGTGCTCCCCTCACTCACCACAATCCTTCTTCCCACCTCAGGCAGAGAACAGGACAGTAATAAATATTCAGAAAACCACAGCACATTACTGAGATGCAGTTTGTCTCCCAACTTCATTGAAAGCTTCAGGGGCACCAATAAAAACCCGGGCAGGTGACGATATACTGTAATTTATATTTTGAACAGGCATTCTCTGGGCAAAAGGAAATTCATATAATCTCCTCCTAGGCTACAGTTTGAGCAACTCACTTTACAAAGTAGTACCCAGTAAAATAGTAACCATCCAGGTCCAAGGAGTTCCTGGTTCGTAATTCATGAAGCAATTCCACCTATCTGAAGGAGGATTTATAGACTGCCTACTTTTTTAAACTTGCATTGTCTTTGATAATTAGCACACATTAAATGTGGGCATGGTCACTTAATGTGAGGTGAGTAGAATTTAAAGTCAAGCATTTACTACAGTTGAAAAATAATTTAGTTCAACACAGGAATGATTTCACCTGCTCAAAAAGTACAAGTTTAACAGCTTACTGATTTCCATGGAATTTAGACAGCCATAGAAGTTTTAGGTAATTTCTGAATCAAAATATTATCACTATTTCACGCTCAAATTTACATTTTGTTCAAGGGTCATTTTAACTACACAACCACAATATCCTGTTTGCTTTTCTTTGTTATGGTGTTACATTTCAAGGGCCACTTGCACTATGCATTTTGTGGTTTTCTGCACAATACACCAATACAATACACTAATTTCCAATTATGATGTTGATGTTCCAGGCTGATATGACTCAGGCCTTACTTAAACTAACAAAGTAGCCTTTCCAGAAATTTATTGAACCCTAACCTTTGAATAAGCAATATCCCCAACAAAAGTCTGTGGAAAAGGGGAAAAAAAACAAAAACCATCAGTGTCCTCTTTCTCAGAATGGATCCACACAGCACTAGACAGAACCAGCCTGGAAACTGTTTGATTATTAAGCCAAGCCAATAAAAATTCCATTTAGCAACTTTATATGGACATCCTAAAGAGCGCACAGATAAAGGCAAAGGAATGCTGACAGTCAAATGCACCATACAGAAGGAGGGGGAGTGGAAAAAAAAAGCAAGCATTTATTAAACCAAACCAAAGCACATCCAGCAGGCAGGAGGATCACCTTTGAAATAATCAAACACAATTATTCAGGGCATCAGGCACACACAAAGAGTTTTCTGACACAAAAGATTAATGAACCCTCGGGGTAAACAGACAAGAGTGGCAGAGCTGGCATGTGAACTTGCATGCTTGATAACACACACCTTTTTAGCCTGTCACAAGCAAAAATAAAAATTAGCATAAGACTTG